GCATGCGTTGGCTGCCGCTGCTCGGGGGCCCTCACCCCCCCACAGTGCACGGCTAGCTGGGGCGCAGACAGCTGCAGCTAGCTGCAGCTAGCTACAGCTAGCTACAGCTAGCCACAGCTAGCTACAGCTAGCTACGGGTTGCTACAGCGTTCGCTGTACTACTAAAACAGAGAGAGAGAGACAGAGAGAGAGGGAAAAGGAGAAGGGACAGAGACAGAGAGAAAGAGAGAAAAGGAGACAGTCTCCTTGTCTCTGTCTGCTGCCGTTTGTCTCCTTCAGGCTGTCTAGCTCAACCGATATAGAGAAAGGAGACTGTCTCCGTCTCCTTTCTCTGTCTCCTTTCTCTCTCTTTTCTCTGTCTCTGTCCCCTTTCTCTGTCTCCTGTCTCTCTCTTTTCTCTGTATCTGTCTCCTTTCTCTGTCCCCTTTCTGTCTCCCCTGTCTCTGTCTCCTTTCTCTGTCTCCTTTCTCTGTCTCCCTTCTCTGTCTCATTTCTCTGTCTCTGTCTCCTTTCTCTGTCTCCTTTCTCTGTCTCTGTCTCCTTTCTCTGTCTCCTTTCTGTCTCCTTTTCTGTCTCCTTTCTGTCTCCCTTTCTGTCTCCTTTTCTGTCTCTGTCTCTGCCTCCCCCGACTAAAGGAGACAGTATCTATCTCTATATATCTATATAAGGTTGCACTCTCTGTCTCTGTCTTTTCTTTATTATAGACTGTCTCTGTCTCTGTCTCCTTTGCCTCAAGGAGACAGTCTCTGTCTCTGTCTCTGTCTCCTTTGTTTAAAGGAGACAGTCTCTGTCTCTGTCTCTGTCTCTGTCTGTCTCTGTCTCCTTTGTCTGCAGGAGACAGTCTCTGTCTCTGTCTCATTTGTCTGTAGGAGACAATCTCTGTCTCCTCTGTCTCCTTTGTTTATATGAAACAGTCTCTGTCTCTGTCTCTCTGTCTCCTTTTTCTATATGAGACAGTCTCTGTCTCTATATCTGTATCTATCTCTGTCTCTTTTGTTTATAGGAGACAGTCTCTGTCTCTGTCTCTCTGTCTCCTTTTTCTATATGAGACAGTCTCTGTCTCTATTTCTGTATCTGTCTCTGTCTCTGTCTCCTTTGTTTATATAAGACAGTCTCTGTCTCCTTTGTCTGCAGGAGACAGTCTCTGTCTCTGTCTCTGTATCTGTCTCCTTTATTGTGTTGTATATTTCTTTATGTTTTCATTTGTTTCTTTTTTTGTTTGTTTGTCTGTAGCTGTCTGTCTCCACTGTCTCCTTTTTTTTAATATAAAGGGACAGGGGGGGGTCTCTTGCTGCAGCGGTGCAGATACACACATATATATATATAAAGACAAAGACAAAGACAGAGACAAACGGAGACAGAGACAGAGACAAAGACAGAGACAAACGGAGACAGAGACGGAGACAGAGACAGATACAAAGACAGAGACAGAAGGAAACGGAGACAGAGGGAAACGGAGACAGAGACAAAGACAGAGACAGAGACAAATGGAGACAGAGACAAATGGAGACAGAGACAGAGACAAACGGAGACAGAGACAGAGAGGGACAAAGACAGAGACAGAGAGAGACAAAGACAGAGACAGAGACAAGGACAAAGATGGAGACAGAGACAGAGAGAAAGAGACAGATAGACAGAGGCAGACAGAAGGAGACAGGGCTGCAGACAGAGACAGAAGGAGAGAGAGATACAGACACAGACAAAAGGAGACAGATACAGACTCAGAGAGAGATATATATATAGGCAGAGAAAAGGAGACAGGGAGAGAGGAAGGAGAAGGAGAGTAAAGAGAAGGGACAGATAGAAGAGACAAGCAGCAGCAGCAGCAGCAGCTGCTGCTGCTGCTGCTGCTGCAGCTGCTGCAGCTGCTGCAGCACGACAGCAGCAAATAAAAACAACAAAGACAAACGAAAGGAGACAGAGAGAAAAAGAGACAGAGAAAAGAAGGCAGCAGCTACAGTAAAGGAGACAAAAGGAGACAGATAAAGAGACAAAAGGAGACAGATAAAGAGACAAAAGGAGACAGATAAAGAGACAAAAGGAGACAGTTGTTTCTCTCTCCCCCGCTAGCAACCTTCGTCTCCTCTAAACCCTAAACCCTAAACCCTAAACCCTAAACCCTAAACCCTAAACTGCATGCATGCATGCAGTGTTTGTTTGTTGCAGCCCCAAAATATCGGGGCTTTTTATGTTTATATCGAGGGTTTAGGGTTTAGGGTTTA